TTTTGATCCTTTTGAAAAACTTAAACCTCCACCAATTATCCATCCTAATCGAGTTTTTTGTAAATATAAATCATTACCGTTTTCTGATAAATTGATGGAACCAATTTGAAATAAAGACAAACTCACACCAGCTCCGATAAGCATGTCTACCGGCGCTGGAATATGAAAATTTGGATCTGCTAAAAGAATTCCTTTTGGTATTTTAAGTATCTCTCGCGGAATTTTCTCATTAGGAATTAGATTTGTTATATTTGGTACTATTAAAAAATCAAGAACCCTTTTATACTCATTATAAGAGGATTTAAATGTTATTTTAACCATGCTATTTGTTGTCGTGGAAAGATTGTTTAAAGCTCCTATATTAAAACAACATTTGGACGTTGGAAGTTGTAGTTTTTTCGCAAAACGTAATGTTACAAAATTTGCAGTAGCACACGTGTCTAATAAAATTCTAACTTTATTTGTATTATTTTTGACATCATATGCTTCAACTATTGCGCTGGTCATGATTTGAAAAGATGGAGGAGTCGTAAAGGAAGTTAAACAAACGTTCTCAATTTTTGATTGTCATGAGTTTTTTGATTCATTTTTATTTGAATCTTCTGAGTTATCTGTTTTAGTGAAATGCAATAATGTGTTATGTTTTTTACTGCATTTCTTACAATTTCCAAATTTACAATCTTTGGCTTTATGGCCACGTAAACAATTGAAACATAGAGAAGCTTCCTTTACGACTTTAAAACGTTCCTTAGTGGATAAGGTCAGGAATTTTCCACACTTGAACAACAAGTGTGATTCAGAACAAAGAGGGCATTTTTTCGAGTTTGTGGTCATTAACATATGATGTTTAGAATCAAGCTTTCGTTTTTTAGAATTCGAGGGACCCTGAGTGTTAGAATTTGAAGTGGATGACTCATCGTGTTTTCGTTTGGATAAACGCGCCGCTGTTCTATATAAAAAGTCTGTGATATCTTCAAGTTTAGGGAATTCACCACGGTTAACAGTTTCGTCCCATTTATCCATAGTTGATTTATGGAGTTTTTCTTCAATGATTGCTACAATAATTTCGGGGGTGATATTGATACCTAATGTTGCTAATGATTGAAGGTGTTGTTGCGACTCGTCAGCTAAAGTTATCAAACCTTGATAACATTCTTTTTCTTGAACAGGTAAACGTAATAATAGACTCAAATGACGCGATATTAATACACGTTTATCCTCATAAGATTTTTGTAAAAGATTCCACGCACGATCATAATTTTCATCTGTGATAGAAAATACTTGAATTTTACGTAACGCTTCATCCTTTAAAACTGATTTTAAGTATTGTAGTTTTTCAACATTTGTGATATCATCATGCTTGTGTATCATAGCATTAAAAGTATCTTTGAATGATAACCATTCTTCAACCTTCCCACTAAAAGTTGGAAGTTCAGCTTGTGGTAATTTTAATTTTCGACGATTTATTGAGGAAACTGAATTATTTCCTATGTCTACACTCGCGACAGAACCGTTACCATTTGTACTATTTGCTGGTATTATTGAGGAAATCAAACTTTGAGCTTTAGCAAGAACTTTAAAATACAAATTTTGAATTTCCTTTTTCTTAGAATTGTGATTTGTTTCCGCATCGATTAATTGAATTTGATCACATATTTCATCAAAATTAGAAAAGCTAGAAACTACCGTACTATATCGAATTTGTAGTTCCGCGATTTGACTTGCATCATTTACGTTAATTTGTACAAGAAATTCATCGAACGAATTGACATGTTCCTCTATGCTTATGCGTTTTTGTAACAATACAGTTAGTGGGTCAAAATGATCCATTTTGTCAAAAGTATTTAAAAAACTGACTGAAATAGAATATTATGGACACTTAATTAATAGTGATCTGATAGTGTTACATACCCTTGTATCTCGTTTGTATCCAATTGTTTGGGCCGAAAGTTTTCCTAAAGAAAAGGAATTGAAAACTGCCTTGGTGCAAGGTGTATAATCGCATCACCTTGTGGCATGATAAAGCAGGATGTTTAATCGCATTGTCCTGCTTTGTTGCTTAATAAGATGTATAAAACGCATCATCTTATTCTACATTTTCACAAAAATGTTTATTTTGTGAAATATTTGAAATGTGAAAATCAAACTTGTTGTCTGATTGCTCAAAAACGTGTAATGATCATCAGTTGTTACTGACTATCTTTGAATGTGTATAATAAAATTTGATTTTATTTTATTCTCCATTTAAATAATCCAGTTGATGGCAATGATGTTAAACTTTGACACTAACATCCAATATATGATCACTTTTTGTTGCTAAATCAGCTGTTACTGATATCGTTTCATATATAACATATTGTCAGCTGAACTATGTCACTTTGTAATTAATCATTTCATAGTTATGTGTAATGTTTAAATGTAAATGTATGTATTTACAATCACTTTTTGAAATGCACTTAACACAGTGTTCACTATTTTTCAAATGTTCATATGTATTATTTATATCCGGCTCGAAGGACCATGTTTTAGAGTGACACTATAAAGTGTCTTCTTATTGAATTTTACTCCAATAAGAAAGTAATTTCGTATATTTGATTAATGATAGATTTATTTATTGTTCACATAAAAATTTTACATTTTTTATTTATACATAAAAGTTATGACAAAAATTGTTTTTGGGAAAGATTATAGAATTACGTGCGAATCGTAATACAGTTTTTTAGCTAATGAATATGTAGAAAACCTTTGTGCTTCAAGAGCTCCACTTAAGGAGGAGTTTTCGTCGCAGAAGGGATAAAATAAACAAAATTCTATTGGAGAATCGACGATTCTTTGTTCCATCAAAAGTGAGGATTCATTATCAGCCTTCTAAGAAAATAAACTTTAAACAAAATCGTCACATACTAATTTCGAGGAACGAAGCACGATACTTTTAAAACAGATTATTTAGAAAGAATCAGAATACATAAACTTAGATTGCGTATAAAGAATCAAACATCAAATAGTAAAAAGTTTCTTAAAAGTAAAACGTAATAATGAAATTAATTATAATAAAAATTAATAACTAAAAATTAATGTCTTTGCTAAAGTCTTTGCAATTCTTAACAAGCGGGAAATTTCAAATTCAATGCAAGAAAGTATAATAATTAACGCATATTATTATCGACAAAAACATGAAGTATTATTATTTACTTTAATATCTTTCTTTAATTTTTATAAATAAAATAAATAATTAAAAAATATATTAATAATTTAATTTTAAGTCACTCGTTAGAGGTAATATTTTAGGTAATTTTTAGTTAATATTAACACAACTACTCTCGTGTTTTCGGATGTAAACAAAAAATTTTCATTAAATTGTTTCGAGCTAACCTAAAATTTCTAGAGATTATCTAACCTGAACTGACAACTGCGCATGTGCAAATAAAGCTTAATTATTGGTTCTTCAATGTTTTATGAAATTAATGAAACTTTCGCTTATGAAACATTGAAACTTTCAAATGAAAGTTTCATTGTTTCAATGAAACGTTTCATCACTCACAACCCTACTTTTGCTGACCAACATTTTCACTTTTTAATTCAAATATAATAATTATTTACTTTTTCTCTTTCTACTTTTTGTAAAAATATAATAACTCAATAAATACTTTTATAAACGTGAGAAAAAATTTTAAAGTGATTATTACGACAAATTTCTATATTTTTTATGAATAAACAAAGCTTCGAGAGGTACAAATTCACTGTTGAATAATTCCGAGTTTCACTATTTACCGCGGCGACGTTAGACAAAAAAATTGAATCTTTGAACGAATTTATAAAGAAATTAAGTGAAATTTTTCTCAAAAAGTGTGCGAAAACTGCGTAAATTGGCAAATTAAATATGTTTTTTACGACGGCAAAGTGACGTTCAAGGTCAAAACCACAAACATAACCTCAAATTCCTCTTGCGACGCTTGTGATGAAAACAAAATTTTTTTGTCAAATTCACCCGTATTTTTTACAATTTTATCAAAAACACAAAATAATACAACACTTAATCCATAAAACTTTACGTTAAATACGAAAATTGTGGCAATATCTATATAAATTTGTTTCCGAGTCGTCTGAGGAGCATTGCGTGGCTTTAGTCGCGAACAAAAAAAGATTCCACGAAACAAATGAGAACTAAAAACTGGTAAATTTATACGAATTTCGATAAATCTTTGCATCCGATGTGCATTTGTCACAAGAATTGATATATTACCTGAAGAACAATTAGAAAAAACGTAAAGAACTATTGCTGTGTCGTTCACTCAAAACTTTTTTTCTCGACAATATGGCGGACGTCTTCAGCATTCTCAGCGGGAGTCCAGAAGAACAACGTAGCTAGTCAAATGATCTACTAATTTTGAAAAATCCTTTTTTTATTATACAGTTCACATTAATTTTACAACTAATTTACAATATATTTTAACGAATAATGCAGTTTAAATTATAAATTTGTTTATTTATCTCTTAGAGTTTTGAAAAAAAGGAAATGTGAGGATTTTCAAAAATTGGAGGTATTTTTCAAATACAGAAAAAAAGGGTTAGAGAAAGGAAATGTTTTATTAATCAAGTTTATAATGTTAAAAAGGAATTTATATAAATGTTTTACATTTCCTTTTGTTATTATTTAAATAATTGTTTCGAATTCCAAAAGATCGAAATTGAATTTTCGCGCTGATTTGCTGAGCCAATCAGAAGTCGCGAACTCAGCTGCAAATGAGTAGTCAAGTTCATAACTAATATTACAGAATTTGTTTTGATAAAAAGTAAAATAGTGGAAATAAATAAAGTTATTTTTAATTTATTAAAGATAATTGATTAAATATTGAGTTATTCTATTTATTATATACATATTGTGATTGTGAATATAGAAACAATTACTAAAAAGGTAAACTCATTTGACTAGCCGCGTTCTTCTTCTTCTTCACCCCCCTGCTGAGCACTGAGGGCGTCGGCCACGTCGGCCATATTGTCGAGAAAGAGCTTTGGAGTGTACGACGCAACAATAGATTTTTACATTTTTCCTAATTGTTATTCAGGTAATATATCAATTCTTGTGAAAATTGCACATCGGGTGCAAAGATTTAACGATATTTATATAAATTTATCAGTTTTCTGTTCTGATTTCTTCTGTGGAATCTTTTTTGTTCGCGACTCAAGCCAAAGGCTCCGAAACATAAATTTACCGATATTTCTAAAATTTTCGTCTTAACGTAAAGTTTTTCTAGTCCAGTGCTATAATATTTATTGTTTTTGATTATATTACAAAAAATACGGGATTATTTGGTAAAAAAATTTTTTTTCCGTCGTCCATCGTCCGCCATTGTTGTAATGCAAAGTACAGTTTGCAATAAATTTACAATGTTTGGACGTAATTTAGAAAAAGTTTTTGTTGAAATTAACTTATAATTTTGTTAAATGGTTCAATTTTTCGATAAAAGTCGGGAAATGTATTGAATACTGGAAAATATTCCATGCCGAAATTATTTCATAATAAAAAATGCAGATTATTTTCGTGATTTTTTGTCGAATAAACGAATCGGGAAAATATTAATAAGAAAATAATTTCCGAATTAGTATCGGAAGTATTAAATGCCGAAATTATTTTATAACAAAAAATGCAGATTATTTTCGTGTGAAATAAATTGATCGGGAAAAAAAATTTAACAAATCGTTTCAATGTGAAATTCATCTATCGAAAGAAAATAATAATTTTCGTAATATTTGTCTTATACATATTCACTTCAAAACTTTTTCTCATTTAGTCAAAGTAAAGAAATGTAGTTATTATTCTATATGAAAAAAACTGAAAGAGTCAGTGTATTAAATTGAAGAAAGATTTTTCCAGACATATTGAAAAAGTACTCGAAAAGTGTTAGCATCGCGTTCTTAAACCGAATTATTAGGGCAGTAAAAAGTGTTGTGTTTACAAAAGTCGTATAAATAATCAGTAATAAAGTCAGTAAATCATTATTTTTCAAGTTAGTAATCGCGTTCTAAAACCGAATTATTAGGTCAGTGAAAAGTGTTATTGAAATAATTTGACGGATGTAAGTCAATAATTCAGAAAAAGGACGATAATACTTAATATTCTACAAGTAAAATGAGTAATTGTGGAAAAAGGTACTGGTAAGATTTTATATTATTATATTGTTAATGATTTTAATTTTTCTATTGCTTGATTATTATTTATCATTTTTATTCGAAGTGTGATAGAATATTTACAAAAATTATTTGATTTCCCCTTTTAGTTGAAACTTGTTTGTAATAATAAAATTTTGAGCATAAAATTTGAAATTTGCTTTTACAAAAAAGGACCTCGGTTGTTTGACCCTCAAAAATTTCCCCTCCTCTTTGACACGCGAATTAATTTTTTATCGTTGTGATTGTAAATTTCAAATTTTATGTCAGTAAATTTTATTATTGACAAAAATTGACAAAACACAATAACAAATACTAGACGAAAATAATAAATTTTAATGTCAGTAAATTGTCAGGGAAATTAATCTGAAACTTGTGACCACCCTGATTGAAAATAAAAAATAAATTAATTAATTAATAAATATTGAAAAAAAATTAGCATCTTATAAAATATTTAATTAATTAACTTAAAAATTATGATTACACGCATTTACAAAACTTGTAAATTAACATACATAATTTAACACGAAATTACACATACATTTTTTTGCTCTATACAAGTACCTGCGACTTTAATTAAATATTTCAATTAAAATCAAATTTCATACACAATTTTTACAAATTCTTTATTTTTTTTTTCTTGGCGGAGAATTTGAAAGGAAATTTTTGAAGAAATAATCTTTGGACAGCTTCGTTAAAAAGTTACAAGTATTTTTTGAAAGAGATGAGGAGGAGGAGAAGGGGGGGGGGGGGGGTTATTTCATATTTGTCCGACAATGAATATCAAGGAATTTAATGACTTTTTAAAGCATTGTCCGGCAAATGGGACATGCCGAATATATTTGTAATGGAGTATTACTTGTCGAACGCTAGCAATACGGTTGGGGTATTGTCGAACTAACGGTTACGTGGTCAGTCCTTTCACCGTAAATCATGAAGTTGGCTGCTAAAAAAGTGGTAGCAAGAGCGGGATCACCGGCGTTGAAACGCGACATGAAGGTATTACCGCGAAAATTAGCATAATGTCATCATAAATATCGAAGGCGTGTGCAACTTCATGACGTGCACGTAAAGCCAACGATTTCTCCTTGTTGTCATAAAAACACCAATAATACAGCATTTTTAAATTATCCCAAAGTGGAGTTCTCAAAATATATATAAGAGGCGCAAAATCATTTTTTTTTACTCTCACAAATATCCATTAGAGAACAAATTTTCTTTGTCTCAAAAACACAGTTAGTCATGTTTTTTACTTGATCCTCGTTTTCTTTACTCTTTTCCGCTTTTTTTATCTCGTTATTAAATAATAATATTATAATTAATTTAATTAAATTTATAAAATTCCTAAAACACTTGGTCTTGGAATTCTGCTTATGGTTTTGTCTTTTTTTTACTTCTACTTTCTACTTTTTGCGAACTTTGGACAAATTTCAACTTTTTTGGAACTTGAAAATCTTTTCTTATTATTTTCTCCGAGTTTTTAAATTCAGAAAGTTTTTTATGCATGGTAACAAACGTATGAAGTTTTTACTATAGGTACTTTCAAAGTAAAATCCAAAACTGTTTAAAATTCTTTCGTCAAATTGCACTATTTCCAGAATAAATTTTACTAAGTTGAAAGTACATTTTTCTAAATTTTATTAAAATTTATTTTGGACTTTATAAAATTTACTCTGTGGAAATAAAGATTTCTGATGATAAATTCTACTATTTAAGGTCTTGGATAGTAAGATATTTGGATTTTTTTTCGAATATTTTCAACAAAGACAAATTTCTAATTTGACTATTTCAAAAATTGGGATTTTTTTCGACTTTTCTTCTAAATGTTGCAACGAAATTCCACTTTTTGGTGTAAAATGCAATTTATTTTGATTTTTATTGTGTCTAAAATTACTGCAGTAAAATCTTTCAAAAATTTATTTTTGGGGCAATAAGTTTTTTCAAACAATTAAATTTTTGAAATATATAATTAACCAGTTTTAAAATAATTGAAATTTTATCAAGTTTGATTGAAAATAATTGATTCTTTTTAAGGATTTCATTAAACTTTTTGAAAATCAAATTTAGAAGAATTTTAATGTCAAATTCTGAAAATAATTTAATTCTCAAAAACTTTAATGAAAAATTTTCAAATAAAAATTTGAAAATGACAGTTGTTGAAAATTAGCTTCAAAATATTTTTTATAAAAAAGTAATTTTGAGAATTTGTTCATTATAATTTTTTGAGATACACTTTATTTGGAATATTTTCAATTATATATTTTTGTAAATTACAAAATATGGACAAAAAAAATTACATTAAAAAATTTAAATAAATTCAATAACTTGATTAATCTTTGGTAATTTAGAAAAATGATTTTGATAAATTCATTCATTAAAAAAAAAAAAAAAAATGTTTCTGCATTTTAGTTATTTGGAGAATTTTCAATCTATAATTGAATAAATCAATTATCTTAAAAAAAAATTAATTAAAAATATTTTTAAAAAATTTAATTTTTTAGAATTTTGTAAAACTTTGGAGAATTTAATATTTTTTAAGATTTTTAATAAAAAATTCTCCAAAAACTTCATTATTTTGGAGTATTTTCCAAAAGTTCTCTTAATAAATTTAATTATTTTCAAAATATTTTTTTTACTCATTTTTAATTATTTAGAAATTTCTCAATTCTAAGTATTTAAAAAATCTATAAACTTTCAAAAATTATTTTGAAATATTTTTAGAAGAATTATTTTAAGAATTTTTTAATCCTAATTTTTTAAATTAATTATTTAAAATATTTTTAGTTGCATATTTTCAATGATTCACCTTCATGACTTTTTTTAAAAAAACCATAAAGATTTTCAGTTATAATGATAAGAAAAATTTAATTTTTGATTTAAATAATTAAAATTTTGAAGAATTCAATAATTTCGAAGATTTTTAATTAAAAATTCTTCAAAAACTTAATTATTTTGGAATATTCTCAAAAAGTTCTTTTAATAAATTTAATTATTTTCAAAATTTTTTTTACCAATTATTAATTATTAAGAAATTTTTCAATTCTAAGTATTTAAAAAATCTATACATTTCAAAAATTATTTTGAAATATTTTTAGAAGAATTATTTTGCTAATTTTTTAATCCTATTTTTTAAAATTAATTATTTACAATATTTTTGGTTGCATATTTTTAATGATTCACCTTCATGACTTTTTTTTAAGAAAATTATAAAGTGTTTCATTTATAATGCTAAAAAAATTAAATTTTTTATTTAAATAATTAAATTCTAAGTATTCAAAAAATCTATAAACTTCCGAAATTATTTTAAAATATTTTTAGAAGAATTATTTTCCTAATTTTTCATCATAATTTTAACCTTCATGACTTTTTGAAGAAAACCATAAAAAGTTTCAGTTACAATAGTAAAAAAATTTAATTTTTTCATTAAATAATTGAATTTTTTAAGAACTTTCCGAAAATTATTAAAAATAATTGATTTAGAGGTGAATTGCAGTTAAAAATTTTTTTAAATAATTTAATTTTGAATAAATTACAGTTGTAATTTTGAGAAATAATTAAGAATTTTGGAAGATTGGAAATTGAAATTATAAAAAATTTATTTCCTGTGGAAAAATAAATACCAAGTATTTAAATATTTAGTTAACAAAATTATTATAGTTTTAAGTAATTGTATTTAAAAATCTGTGAAAGGTCAGAAAAATACAAAATTAATCTCTAAATCTGAATTAGCGGAAAGTTACTAATGAAATGATAAAAAGTCATGATCCTAAAATTCTGAACGTTCAAGTGAACGAAATTCATTTATGGGTCATTCTCACAATCGGGACACATGACACGTACATTAGATTTTTAAAAATAAATAATAATAATTTTTCAAAATCTTTACGTCCTAATAATAGCATTCATCATGATTTAATCGGATCCTATGAAAAATAAATCGAAAATTTGAAATATTTAAAGATACACGTGTTTATATAGCATAAAAACTCCCCTCCGTTACCGTTCATGAAGTACCTAAGTTTCATTTATAGAAAAGGTATTATATTAATTCTGTAATACAAAAAAATCTTTCGCCCGGTAATATCTACTTATTATTTTATTTCGAATTCAATCATGAAAAATAAAGTAAAATATTTGTTAGTTATTTTTACCTAGAATTAAATTAGTTTTGTGCAGAAATAAAACTCCCCTCCGTTACCGCTCACAAATATAATTATAAAATATAAACAAAAACGATAAAATAGAAATAAATACATCAAAACTCTTTGTAGTGTCAGTATAGTTATGGTTATTGCATAAAATGATGAAACAAAATGAATACAAATAGTTTTAAAAGAATCTTTAGTTTGTCAGTGTTCATCGACACAATAAAAACTCCCCTCCGTTACCGCAGTGAATTTAGTTTTTAGGACGTAAATAATAATAATTTTTAATAATCTTTAAAACATTGTTTTATTTAAAAACAAAGAAAACAAATGCTGTCATTAATTTATTTATAATATTTATTTTTTTTTATATTAGAATCATAACATTTTGAAGCTGTATAATGGAAGAAAACTCCCCTCCGTTACCCATGGTATATTTCCATTACACAGCACGTAAATTACAGACTTTATTAATCATCGGATTCGCCTGAAAATCGTTACTCGGGGGTTTTTAGAGTTGCTGATTACGAATATGATAATAAATAATTTTTGAAAATTCAAAATGGCGGATCCAACATGGCGGACAATTTTTTAAAACATTCATCGGATTTGCTTGAAACTCGTTACTCGGGGGTTTTCGGGGTTGCTGATTACGAATCTCATGTCAGTTTTTGAAAATTCAAAATGGCGGATCCAATATGGCCGACATTTTTTTTCAAAACTGCTCAGATTTGCATAAAATTTGTTACTTGGTGGTTTTCGGGGTCGCTGATTACGAATCTGTTATTAGTTTTTAAAAATTCAAAATGGCGGATCCAACATGGCGGACACTTTTTGAAAAATTCATCGGATTTGCTTGAAACTTGTTATTAGGGGGTTTTCGGGGTCGCTGATTACGAATTTTGGGTCAGTTTAAAAAAAATTTTAAATGGCGGATCCAATATGGCGGATAATTTGAAGATTGATGCTATTCGATAGAAATTCGTTCCTCAGGGGTTTTTGGGGTCGCTGAATTCGAATTTGATGTTTGTTTTTGAAAATTGCAAATGGCTGATCTAGTATGAATAATTAATTAGATTGGCTTAAAACTTGTCGCTCTGGGGATTTCGGGATTTTGAATTTTCAAAAACTGACATCGGATTCGTAATCAGCAACCCCGAAAACTCCCGAATAACGAGTTTCAAGCATACCCGATGAATTTTTGAAAAAAGTGTCCACCATATTGGATCCGCCATTTTCAATTTTCAAAAACTATCTTGAAATTCATAATCAGCGACCCCGAAAACCCCCGAGTAACGAGTTTCAAGCAAATCCGTTAAATTTTTGAAGAAATTGTCTGCCATATTGGATCTACCATTTTGGATTTTGAGAAACTGACATCGGATTCGTAATCGGCGACCCCTAAAACCCCTGAGTAACGAGTTTTAATTAATTTTCATCAATTTTGAAACCCATTTAGCTGCGAGAAATTTTCAACAAAAATTCTGATTAAAAAACATTAATTTTTAATAATAATGTTGATAAAGATTGTAACCACGTATTTTATAGGCTTATTAGGATCCCCCTTTTGCCAAAGGACTAATAATAAAAGTGAATTTTCAACTTTTTTTAAAATGAAATTTCAATTCTGAATTTGTTCATTTCTAGAGATTGACCCTTATTTCTTTATCAAATTAAATTTCTATTAAAATAATGTTGTGTCATTATTAGAAAAATAATTTGTAAAGTTTCTGAAAGTAGAATTTCAGTTTTAAATTAAATTTTTAAAAAATATTTTTATTAAAATGAGTAATTTATGAAAATATTTTTACTAAAAAATATTTCGTTCATTTGAACGTTTAAAACTTGTAGTTTATGAAAAGTCAGGCACCAAATGATTTAGTAAAATGTGTATTAGCAATTAGTGAAATTTTACTATAATTGTTTGTGAAATTTTACTAATTGTTAGTAGAACTTTTCTAATAATTAGTCGAACTGTTTTCTTAAGTGTCAATAAAAAAGTATAACTAGGTAATTAATTTAGGGAATTAGATTGACTATGGCAATTAGTGAAATTCTTCTAAAAAAAATTAGTAAAACTTTATAGTAGCAACTGATTTTACGAATCAAAAATAGGAAAAGTCCATGAAAATGACTAACAATTAATTAAATTCTACTATTTTTTTGTAGAACTCTACCATAATTCAGATTTAGAGAGTAAATTTTTGTGTCAGCACTGAATAAAATTAACGACTTTTTGAACATTTTTTGCGCCTTAAAGTCAATCCGATGGGTCGCCTGATGGGTTTTCTAAAATAAAGTCTTGTCTTGTCTCATGAGCAGTGCAAAAAGATTTTCTCACGTTTCTGTTTGAAATAGGCGTTTAATAAATAATTTTTCAGTTTCTGGAAAAGACAACTTAGAAAAGACCCTTTAGATATAGTAGAATATTTTTTGTCCAATATATTATTTCCCACTGTTTCATCTGTAAATTTGAACAAATTCATTATTGAGAGTGATTTCAGCCTCGAAGACTATTGGTCATTATGGCAAATTAGCCAATATAAGTAATCGCGAGGAGAAGTTGTGGAAGGTGATGGAATAAAGTGAACCTTTCTCGCATCGGCGGAAGTGGGCGTTTCGCATTCAACGTCGGCTGGCAGCTAGCAAGAAGCCTCAATTGCTCTTCCATATAGAGGGACTTTTCTCCTTCTTCTCCTTCGTCTTCTTCGTCTTCTTCGTCTTCTCTGGGTAATTAACAATTTAACAGACACGCTGAGATGGGCATTGAGCAGTGCATCAGTTAACCAAGTTGTTATTAGGCTTGACGCTCGGTATATGTATAGTCGCGGAAAAAAGAAAAAGAATTATGGGAGATAGAAAAGGAAGGAATTTCTATTGCAAGAAGAAAATGAAAATATATATAATATGCTGATGAGAGAGAAAGAGAGAACAAGAGCCGTTAATGTTTTGTGTATTCAAATAAAGAGAGGCCGCGATGTACATTTTGCACGCAACCATTGCCTCGCCTTGTGTATGCGCCCCCTAATGGGTTTATAATGCCTTCATTTCACATTAAAACGCCACCAATTCAGTCTGAATGCTCGCACTTTTTCGCTATTCTGATCTTGCCCTACGGGACGCTTGCAGCAAATTAGCAAATTGCATTTTCAAACGTTTGTTTTATTCGTCGATGATAATTTTTGTGCTCTTGTTTTTTAAAGTCTGATGTTGCTTTCTGTTTTTAAATTTATTTTTGGCTAAAGATCATTTTTCTGTACTTTTACCTTTCTTTTTGTAGATTATGCGGAACAAACATTGTTGTCATTAGGATATCATCAGGGTTTCTACAAGTTAGTCATGAGGACCAGGAAATCATGGAATTGTCGCAGGGGATTTTAATTTGGTTCATGGAGTAATGGAAATATCAAGGAAATTCTAATTATAGACATTTTGGAACGCATAGAAATTCTAGAAAAAGCATTAGTGGGAATATTCAGTTTTTTCAAAATCATTAAATCGAATTTCTATTCAATGGAATATTTATTACAAACCAATATTTCGTTAACTCAACTGATTTCTTATTTAACGGAATTTCTGTTTTATTCAATATTTTCATTATTTGGATCATCAATTCTTCATAAATAAATAAATAAATAAAATCATCAATAAAATTTTCCGAAAGAATTGAATTATTTTTTAAATACTTCAATTAAATTCTTTACACAAATTCAATTATTTTCGTAAATTATAAAATTCGTCTCAAAAATTCAATTATTTTCAAAAATTTTTGAAAAACTTTGCAAAAATTCAATTGTTTATTAAAAAACGTTGATAACATTTTTAATAAAAATTTAATTCGAATTCTTTTAGATTAGATTTTAAACTTTTAGATTAGATTTTAATTAGATTCCTCAAAATAATTTAAATTTTTTCAAAAATACAATAAAATTCTTCCAAACAATTCAAATATTTCAAAAATTTTTAATAAATTTCTTCTCAAGAATTGAATTATTTTCATAAATAATAAAATTTTTCTCCAAGAATTTTAGTATGATTCTTTGCAAGAATTCAATTGTTTTCATAAATAAGAAAATTCTTTAAAAAAATTAAATTATTTTCAAAAATTGTTATAAAACTTTGCAAAAATTCAATTGTTTTTAAAAATTTTATTCAAATTCTTCGAAAGAATTCAATTATTTTTAGAAATTTTTCACAAGAATTCAATTAGAATAATTTTTATTAGATTCTTCGAAATAACTCATTTTTCTCAAAAATTATAATAAAATTCTTTCAAACAATTCAATTATTTTTAAAAACTTTAATAAATTACTTCTCAAGAATTAAATTATTTTCATAAATAATCAAAATTTTATCAAGAATTTTAGAAAAATTCTTTTCAAGAATTCAATTGTTTCTATAAATAATGCAATTCGTAGCAGAAATTGAATTTTTTTCTAAACTTTTCAGAATTTTCTTCGCAGATATTTAATTATTATTAAAAAAATGTAATACAATTCTTGATAAGAATTCAATTATCATTGTAAATAACAAAATTTTATAAAACATTGTAAAAATTCAATTGTTTTTAAAAATTTTATTAAAATTCTTCAAAAGAATTTAATTATTTTCCAAAATTTTGATAAAATTTTTCACAAGAATTCAATTAAAATAATTTTAATTGGATTCTTCGAAGTAACTCATTTTTTCAAAAATTATAATAAAATTCTTCCAAACAATTCAATTATTTTTAAAAATTTTAATAAATTTCTTTTCAAGCATTGAATTATTTTCATAAATAATAAAATTTTTCCTAACAATTTTAGTAAAATTCTTTGCAAGAATTCAATTATTTTTATAAATAATATAAATATTGTAGCAGAAAATCAATTATTTTCAAAAATATTAATAAAATCTTCACAATAATTCAATTATTTTTATAAATAATAAAAATCTTAGCAAAAATTCAATTATTTTCGAAAATTTTAATAAAATCTTCACAATAATTCATTTATTTCTATAAATAATAAAAATCGTATAAATAATTCAATTATTTTCAAAAATTTTGATGTTTTTCATAAAAATTCAATTATTTAAAAAATTAACATAAAATTCTTCAAAACATTAAATTATTTTCAAAAATTTTAATAAATTCTCAAGTTTTCAATTATTTTAATACTCTCTAGATTTCGATTAGTAAAAATTTTTTCAAATTCAAATTTAGAAAGTAAATTCTGATGTAATTTTTAGTAAGGAGTCAATTATTTTCATAAATAATAGAATTTTTGTCGAGAATTCAATTGTTTTCATAAATAATAAAATTTTACAAAACAATTAAATTATTTTAAAAATTTCTAGTAAAATTCTTTGCAATAATTGAATTGTTTTTATAAATAAAAGGTATAGTTTCTAGCAAAAATTCAATTATTTTCAAAAATTTAAATAAAACTCTTCGCAAGAATTCACTTATTTTTAGAAATAAAAAAATTCGTCAAAAAAATTCAATTTTCAAGAATATTAATAAAATTTTTCGAAAAAATTCCATTATTTTTAATGCAATTTTAATTAAATTTTTCTAAAGAATTGAATAATTTTTAAAAATAAAAAATAAAAATGGTAATAAAATTTTTCGAAAGATTAGAACAAAAGTTATAGAAAATTTGTAAATATTTTTATTTTTTAATTCGGCTTAGAAAATGGCATCAGGCTTCACAGTCTGTCCCCTATTTCCCTAAAAGTCCCCTATTTCCCTAAAAGTCCCCTTTTTTCAATTTTGGCCCCTAAACGTACCCTATTTTGAAAATTTCCCCTAAATTTCCCCTATTTTTCTCGTCGCAGGAAATTAATTTTTTTTCAATAATTTTTAAGTAATTCTGCAAAAGAATTCAATTATCTTGATAACCAACAAAATTCTCCGCCTAAAATCAATTATTTTAAGGATTTTTAATGAAATTCTTTTCCAAAATTCAATTATTTGGATAAATATCAAAATTCTTCTCAAGAATTCAATTATTTTCAAAAATTTTAATTAAATTCTTCGAAAAATTTCAATTACTTAAACAAAATTTAATAAAATAGTTTGCACGAATTCAATTATTTTTATAAATTTTAATGAATATCTCGTCAAGATTAAAATAAATAAAATCTATAGTTTTTTCTTATAAAATAAGTAACTTTAACCGTATTTTGCATTAATAAAAGTTAGTTTATTTAGAGTAAGTTTTTGTAACTATTTTTTGTTTTAGATTGTTAAATTTAATTTACAAAATTAAATTAACTTTTAATTAAAATAATTTTTGTTATTATTTTTTTACATTTATTATTTTATCTTTGAAATAAAATAAATTAGTTTCTTCAATTTAAGAATTCTATCAAATGACAATTTGACAAATATCGAATGATAAATAAAAATTCTGATAAATGAAAATTCAGTGAGATATAGAAATTCTGTCATTATAAATTCGACTCAATCAGAATTCTGTTGAATAAAAAATTTGATTAATGAAAGTTTAGTTAAATCGGATTGTTTTAAAAAAAAACTTGGGATAAATAAATATTCGGTTGATTAAAAATTCTGCTAAGCGAAAGTCTGGTTAATTTAAATTTCGATTCTGCAAAACTTTGGTTGATTTTTATTTCTAAAAATTGTGTCGAATAGAAATTTCTTAAAATTATTTTCGATTTAATATAATCGTGCGGGTTCAATGTAATCGAATTTTTTCTCTGGAAAGATTTGTAAAATGTTTGATCAATTTTATTCATCGTTTAATTTTGTTTTATCTTTGGTTGCAATATTGGTTTTGCTATACAGTAAATTTTACAGATACCTCGTTTTTTATTTAAAAAAAAAAAAAAAAAAAAAAAAAAATAGTGGAAAAAAAGTTGATGGTAAATCTATAAATGGCGTGCGTCTAAGCGCATTAATTATGCCAGCTTCACAGGTGCCAACAAGTCGATTATCAGATGAGATCTGATCGGATCGCGAATTTAGATTGCATGAGAGCGAATCAGCGGTTTCGAAGGGCCCTTTACGTATATATGCGGGTATAACGAACCTCCACTGCTCGTTTTGTATCGCGCATTATGGATCCGCTAATTGGGCCCTCGCGCGCGCCAACCTTGCTTTCAAACGACATTCGACGATTAGCTCGTAAAATGCCACGAGATGCGGAATTCCCAATTGAGGTTTGTTGTATTTATATATTTTTTTACATTCTCATCACGTGAGAAGGTATTAGTTTTTTTTTTATAGTCCCAATTGTCGTCGGGGTGCTGAAATTGGCAGCAGTTCTCGCTTCTGGAAAAAAAATCGTATAAATTTTTCATTCAATTTTATCTGTTTTTAAAAGTTTGGAAAAATCATTCTGGACATTTTTTTAAAAACATTTTTTAGGGTTTTCGAGTTTTTCCTCTGTTTTTTCAACCACTTTTTTCACAAATTTTTGGGTTTAGAATAAAAGAAAAATTTTGTAGGGTTTTTGAGTTTTTTCTCTGGTTTTTCAACCACGTTTTTCGCAAATTTTTGGGGTTTGAATAAAAGAAAAATTTTGTAGGGTTTTCGAGTTTTTTCTCTGTTTTTTCAACCACGTTTTTCGCAAATTTTTGGTCTTAGAATAAAAGAAAAATTATTTTTCGATTTTTCTTCCAAATATTGCAATAAAATACTACATTTTTGGTATAAAGTGCAAATTACTTCGATTTTTGTAGTGTAAAAAATAACTGTAGTTAATTAAATAGTTAAAAATTTATTTTTCATTAATTTTTCTATACAAGATAATTAAATTTTCGAAATAGGTATAATAATAAAAAAGTTTTTAAATAATTGTAATTTTGTAAATTTTTTTTGTAAATAGTTGGTCTTTTTTAATTTGAATTCTTTTTTTTTTAAATTAAAATAATTGAATTAAATTCTGAAGAATTTTAATTGAAAATTTTTGAAAATAATTGAATTTTCAAAAATTATAATGAAAAATCAAAATGAAAATTAGTTTTAAAAGAAGTTTTTCTTGGAATTATTTTATTAAAATTTTTTAAAATTCAATTATTTTTAATATCTAGTATTTTTATAAAATTTCGCAAAAGAATTCAATTATTTAAAAAACAAATTGATAAAATTCATCCAAAATCCAATTATTTTCATAAATAATAAAATTTCCACAGGAATTCAATTAATTTAGAATAGAATTTTCAAACAAATTTCGAAAAAAACAATTATTTAACAAAATTTTTATACAATTCTTCAAAATAATTCAATTACTTTCACTAATAATAACATTTTTCATGGAATAATTTTTTGATAAAATTCTAAACAAGAATCCAATTATTTTCATAAATAATAAAACTCATCGAAGAATTTCAATTATTTTTTAATATTATTTTAAATTAATTAAACAAAAAATTCAATTATTTTCACAAATAAAGTTTTCCACAAGATTTCAATTATTTAAAATAAACATTTCATAATATTTTAAAAAAATGAATTATTT